AATTTGGATCTATATGTGGCAGATTGTGGAAATAATCGAATTCAATTGTTTCAGCTAGGAAAATCAAATGGCATCCCTGTGGCTGGATTTACATCATCAAATCCACACCGAATTACACTTAGTTGTCCCAGTGAAATTGTATTAGATGCTTGGAAATATTTATTCATTGTGGACCGGAATAATCATAGCATTGTTGGTTCAGGCTCAAATGGTTTTCGACCTTTATCTAAATCTAATAAAATGGGTTCAGAATCCAATCAATTGTCTAGTCCATCTAGTTTTAGTTTCGATCGTTCTGGAAACATGTTTGTAGCTGATACAGAGAATCATCGAATTCAAAAATTTAACTATAAAATAAAATCTTGTGGTAAGTTGAAGTATAATCGAATGAGAGGATGAGATGTGAATATTGATAGTGAAAAGTTGTATAGTTATCGTTACAAGAAACTGATGTCCAAATCAAAAGAAAAAACTGTACATGAAACTTTTCTGATCGAAAAAAATAAAGTTGTGTAAATGAAATTTCAATTGATCATTGATATTCTTCTTTTAAACATTCTCACTCTTAAGATGTGAAGATAACTATCAGATCAGAAAAATCCTCAAAGATTTTAATTGTTATTAAAGAAACAAAACATAGAACGTAGATATTATGTAGAAACTGTCTGATCGACGTGCACAACATTATGCTTTTTTTGATTGATTACGGAAAAGATCCTTGGTTAAATCTAATCATTTAGAAGTTTCTCTCTCTCTCTTTTCGATGGTCAGATCTTGTTTCGAATTTTAAAGTTTCATGTAAAAGTCAAACATTGTGCTGTGCACATCGACTAACGAATTTCACTAGATTCTCTTCGACACTGTTTGACCTACATAATGTTTTCTCTTTTCAAAATATCAAAAAATAAACAATATTACAGGATAAATCCAATTCATTTCAAATACTTTGCGGTTAAGAAACAGTTTTTTAACTTTTTGAAAGCCAATTGCCAGTTCAATAGGTTAGGGACGTATACTTAAGGTAAACAAAAACTCCTGTTAAAAAAGAATTGCACTTATGTGTACTCACAATACACTTAAATTGATTTCATTGTTTATTTAGCCAATACTTTCTCACCTGTCCGAAATACGTATCCATCATCATTGACTAAGAATAATCAAATGTATTACCGAGATTGTAAGAAAGAAATTGTTTACTATGAATCTATTCAAGTGAAGGTGATTGAAACTGGTTACTACACTTTTCGTAGTAGTGGTAACATCGATTCATATGGATTTATTTACGAAAACAAATTTAATCCACTTGATCCATTAGAGAATTTGCTTAGAGCAGCTGATGACAGCGATTCTGATCTTCAATTCAAATTTGATCTTCATCTTGACGTTGATATGATATATGTATTGGTTGTGACAACATATCCATCAAAAGAAACTGGACAATTTTCGATTGATGTGTCGGGTAAAACCAAAGTTACTCTCGAGTGTCTTTGTAAGTATATAGATATTTGTATTACATAATTTATACAAAATATATAGTCTATCTTCTAAATTCAATTCCATCATTTATTCTATATCTAATATTAAGAGATTTTCCAGCAGAGTATTTATTCGTATATTTTTCTGCCATTATCCTAGTACATAGATGCTGCTCAGTTTCTACAAATACTAAATGAAAAATATCCTAAAAAGAATAGTCAATGAGATGTTTTGAAATATCTGACAGTCCAATGCTGAAATTCAAAACAGTATCTTACTGTAGTGAAACACTTTTTTGGATTTCTGTGACATACTGATTTCAAAATACTCACTTGGAGAATGTGAATATGGTACATTCACTAATCCCTATTGGTAAAATTTCAAAGATTTCGTTTTTGTCGATGTTAGATAATAGTATCAAAATTTTATGAATTATTTGACTTTTTTATTGAACAGATACTCCATTAAATATTCAATTAATATATTCATCAAAATTAACCGATAATAGTCCAAAATTTTATCGAGATTGTCAAGTACCGCAATGCCATTATGAAACTTTACAAATTCATGTTAATACAACGGGTTTGTATGTTCTTTCGAGTGAAAGTAATATTAATGCATATGGATATATCTACAAAAATGATTTCAATCCTCTAAACCCATCTGAAAATTTACTTCTATCACATGGCGGTGAATGTAATGTTGGACAATTCAAATTAATCATCGATCTCGAGATCAACACTCGATACATATTGGTAGTGACAACACACGAATCTAAGATAACTGGAAACTTTTCTATTTCTATCTTTGGACCAAACAATGTCAGCCTTAGTCCTTTCAGTAAGTATTTATATGATTTATTTGATAACAAATATATAATGCCATAAAACACGTGAAAAGAAGATTTCTTATATTTTTTTATTAGTGGACAATTCGTATTTTAGATTTAAAAAAAGATCTATCTAGTTATTGAATTAAATAATTTTAGAATCTTTGAATCTATTAATCTGTTACAAAAGATATCTGTTTAGCGTCAATCTTAAATAGATTTTCCATATTTTGAATGTTCATACTTACAGCCTTTCATATCTTTATGGATATGGAGTTTTTGAAGACTCAAAATCTTGTAAAAGTAAAAATTTCTTCAATAGTTTCCCTATTTCTCGAAATCAGCAGTGAAAGATGTAGATATTTCAATACATTGAACAACCTTTTCATTTGGGAAACAAGTCGATTACCAAAACTGAATATTTTGATTGTCAAAACAACTGAATTTCTTCATTAATCTCTTATCAAAATATATTCGATATTTTAGGTCCAGAACAAAAAAGTTGTGTGATCGGTGATCAATGTAACTTTTATCTCAAAGGGATTGGTTTGACACTCGATGATATTTTACGCGATGACCTTCAACCGAATACAGGGCTGAATAATCAATCATTTTCGATTAGATTGAGTGCGGGTTTAACAATAATTATGTTTGTCGCAGGATTAATCAATAGTATTCTTTCTTTTATTACATTTAAAAGTAAAGATTCTCAACAAGTTGGATGTGGAATGTATCTATTGGTATCATCGATTACTTCTTTTTTGGCAATTAGTATGTTCATAATTAAATTTTGGTTTGTTGTTCTTACTCATATCAATGTGTCCACTAGTCTCTCTGTTCTTCGTGGAGGTTGTGCATCTATTGAACCAATTCTAAAACTTTTTCTCTACTTGGATGGTTGGCTTAATGCTTGTGTAGCAAGTGAACGAGCAGCACTTATTTTTAAAGGAGTAAACTTCAACAAAAAAAAGAGCAAATCTATTGCTCGACGAATAATTTTTATTTTACCATTGTGTATTCTCTGTACTTTTATTCACGAGCTCGTCTTTCGCAGATTGTTCGTTTATGAAACAGGACTAGATAAGATAGATACGAATAAGACTAATGAAGACACAATCAAGCGATATGTATCATGTATCACTCGTTATTCTCCTTCTGTCCAAGATTACAATACAGCCGTTCTATTTTTTCATCTTATTGGTCCATTTATTATCAATTTTTTCTCTGCATTGTTCATCATCTTTGGAGGTGCTCATCAACGATCAATAATACGAACTAATCAAAGTTTTCAAGAACATGTTCAAGAACAATTCCGTGAACATAAACAATTGATCATTAGTCCAATAGTTCTACTCATTTTATCAATACCTCGTGTCATCATGTCATTACTTCCTGGATGTGTGAAAACGTCTAAGAACTTATGGCTGTATCTTGGAGCATATTTCATTTCCTTTACTCCTCCGATGCTGATCTTTGTTATCTTTGTCTCTCCTTCAGAATTGTATATGAAAGCGTTTAAACAATCGTTCAATCGTATTCGAAGGCGTGCTCCTCCTTAATCAATTCGTTCAATTTCAATGACATGACTATTATAATAAATACAAAAAACATTATTTATTTGTTTGCTTCTCGTAATGTATTAATCGATGTACTCTTATATTTGGAAAGAGACTTTAACGTTTACTTACAGCTCACCGTGAATGATCATCAACTGAAATAACAACATGTTCAATGGTAATGAATGGTGTAAATACAATATGCGCCACTCTTCTATACTTCTATCAATTAGAGATACTAAAGACTCATGGAGAAATGTTGTGCAATAGTTGATGTGTCTACTAGACTAAGTGACACAAATCACAAGAAAGTAGGTCAACTTTACACAAACTATATTTTTTGCAACATTATTCACATTTCTTCTTGTCTTTTTGATGTGTGCTTTTCATATTGTTTTATTTTATGTAATAAAGTCGACCATCTTGAGGGTGGGTGTGGATGTGGGTTTGTGTAGCTGTGAGTAGAAAAGAGACACCCACCCTCACACCTTCAAGATCGAAAACTATCGTTTAGGATTTGATCAGTGATATTGAGTTATACATGAAGACAAAATATCGAGGTTAAAGTTGAGAAAACAATTTGAATACTCACCTCATAACTTTTAGATTTTTAATTTTGTACCATATTTCGATAGAGCATATAAAAGCTGAACAATATGCAAACGTTCAGCTCTTCTAGAATTGACCTCAGATTTGCTGACATTCGTGGATCTTTGGTTGAAGATTTTACTGCAAACTTGTGAAGCTCTAAGACTGAGTTCAAAATATTTGCAAGCTCCCAATGTGTTCAACTTTAGTATGATCCATCCAGAGAAGGGGATGTCAAGTTGCAAATTTATAATGGTGGAGCAAACAGTTCTAACAGACACCCTTACATAATGACTCTGAACAAAGTCTTGAATGATTTTAACATAAGAGCTCAAATTATTCTCAGGATCGTATAAAGCTGCAAATAAATTTCAGTTCGATTCGTCTACCAGCAACACATTTTATCTTTTTTTTTATTAGGAAGAGGAGGAAGGCATAAAAAACGATGATGTGATTTAGTACAGAGAACTGTCTTTAGTAGTACTTAAAGACATCACATACGAATTGAATAAAATAATAAAAAAAACAACAACAGTACATTCTGCCTAAGGCATTTCCACAACGTGTTTACACAATCCATCTGTCGTCACTTGTGGTTTTGCGCTTAAACTTAATTTTTGATCGAGCAGCTTACGGTATTCATTATCTTTGCCTCGCATTTCTCGACGTTTACGAAGGGGTATACGAAAGTACCAAACAATAAAGAGTACATGAGAAATAACGAAGGTAGCACCAAATGCAAATAACACGTATCGATCAACCCAAAACCAGTAGCTGGTGGGTGTTATTTCTTGGAAATTGTTCAGGGTGAAGACGAGTGTTCCAGCAATGGAATGCCATATGCCAAAGATGACAAGCACAAACATACATGCAAGTGAATATTTGTCAAAGGCAGTCAGGTATGAAATATGTGGCTAGAATGAAATTGTTGAAGTGTTTTTTTCTATACCACTGTGATCTCGAGACAAAAGTTAAAGTTATCCTCGACTTCAGAAAGTGATTGACTACCAAAATAAATACTTAAAAAACCTTCTTCAGTTTGTGATATTAATCCTTAATATGAATTATATTTTTGACGAAAACAATGGGTACACCTAACGTTGAGCTCTAAAATCCACCGTCAATGTTAAGATACACTTTGAAAGTTCTGAAACATAATCTCTCGATTGTTCTTCCTCACACATAAACTTACGAGTACATGCGATACACTGATTGACCATCGAAATGCAATTTGGCTGAGAAGTAAATTGGAGATGATGCCGAGTCGCTGAGGTGTCAAGCTAGAATGTAAACAAATGTGCCACAGTTGGCTTATTAGTTGCCTAGAAAAATTAATGCACGTACGCCGTAGTGCGCATGTAGGCGATCTAAAAGCACTTCTATGGAGCTTGTCAAATTAAAAATAGATTATTCGGTCCTTTTTCATCCTTTCAATTTTCTTCTTCAAACAGGGATGAAGTTACTGAACCAGACGCAGTAGGTTTTTCAAAGGTGTTCCGTAAGTGTCCGAAAACTGCCCAGACTTCATTTAATTTTTGCCGTAAAGTAATCCAATTTTCTCAACTATTCTTGAAAACGGCATTTTACTAATGTCACCAGAACAATACAGCTAAGAGGCTCGTGCATGACTTACTCGACAGTAACAGCAAACGAGCTAAAACCAATGGCCGAGAATAGAAATAAAATCAAGAAGTGATTCCAAAAGAAATATTGTGACTTTCGTGCAACGTGACAAGTAACCTTAAGAATGCTTCGTATCTTCGGATGCCCTGGAACATATAGATTACCACCGCCGTCTTGATCATGTCGAAAGATATATCCCTTAACCCAACTGGGCGTTGTTTCGACATGTTCATACAAGATCCATTCATGTTGTGCAGCAAACGATTCCTTATTGACTCCGGATAGATTATGGGGATCGGCCTGTAATTGTACTAACTTATCGGACAAATTCGATCCAACTGAAATATTCAGTTCTTGTGTGTCGGTTGGATAGTGATGCAAATCAAAATCGCACAAGAAACGTCCTTCAAAGATGCGTAGTTCACGTACTTCAATTTGTTTTGTTTCATGGTGACGTTTTAAACTATAGTGCGCTATTTCGTCAATAGAACCTACGTCTCGATTAAGGATGAATATATGAGGATGCCATCCTTTGTAGTTTCCTACAAGAGATAGACATTCGTCTTGATCAAGTGTTTCGTTCTGATCCGATGTTAACGTAGCGAGAAATGTAGCTTCCGCAGGCCAATGAGATTCCACTGCTACATAGGCAGTGTAGCATTCGCGATGTGTATCGATCGTACCTATAATAAGAAACGGACAAGTGGGGATGAAAAGATGCGTCTTATAACACATATTATCGAGAGTAACTCAGTGGTTTCTTAACGAGTCAAATAATCAATTCTTTTAAATTTCCATTGTGTTATCTATGGTAAAAGTCTCAGCTTGATCAGTTGTACTGTTACTAAGATCTACAAACAGTCTTACATTAGACAAGTTTACCACTAGAACGGATCTGGTAATTCTACTGCTAAAACTTCAAAAAAATATTTATCTTCAGATTTTATCAGAGGAACTATCACGAAATACATTTTCTCTGACAAAGAAACTAATGAGTTTGTCGAGTAGAACAAGACAATTAGTTACTTACCTACTCGGAGAAACATAAGGCGAACATGAACTAGCACCGGTGCTTCGTCTCCTTGTTTTGTTAGTTCATTCTTTAGTAGCTTAGCAATCGTGTTATTGTGCTCGATAATAATAGCCATACTCACTTTTTGATTATTGCAAAAAAAATTATTTTTGATTTGTTTACTACTACATATAGAAAAAACAGTAGCTGATGAATCACAATCTTCCTCTCTTCTCCTTATTATGTACACATTGTTACACTCATGAAGCCTCAGTCAGT